CCTCTCAAGTAGCTGGGACTACAGGCACCAGCCACAACGCCCAGCTATTTTTTGGTTGCAGCCATCATTGTTGTTGGCAGGCCTAGGTTGGATTCGAACCCGCCAGCTCAGGTATATGTGGCTGGTGCCTTAGCTGTTTGAGCCACAGGCATCGAGCCCCCCCCCTTTTCTTTTTTAATGGACCAAGGAAGAATGGCCTGCTGTATAGTAACAGCCAGAGTCTACAAATAGGCAAGTGTTTTTGACTATTGCTAAATGACACTAGCATTCTGGAAGGGACTCTAAATGTACATCTTCTAAGACAAAGAGTAGTCCCAAGTGACTCTGAGGAACATTTGTCAAAGGTCTTGCTGGCAAGTACAGAGAAAAAGGAAATTTAGGACAGACTATTACCTTTGGGACCATAGATTTTGTGACTACTGATGCTCATGAGATCAATTTTCATGTCATTGACATCAAGTGGAATTTTTCCAACCGCCTGAGCAGCATCAGTATGGAAATAAACCTTTCTGGAACTGCAAATCTGCCCTGGGGAAAGAACAGAGGGACAGACCCACAGCACAATGCTGGGAAGTCATCTGGCAATTATCCTACAATGCACCACAAACTATCTCTACTTACCTTAAATGACTTTTGGCAACATTATTATAAATCCCTTCCTATCCCAACCCCTAGTCTTCTTTTTTCCCCCCTCTCCATCTTTCTCCCTCCCATTCCCTTCTTCTCTCTCTTCCTTACACTGGAATAAAAAACATAAAAGGCAAAGTACCAATTCAAAACACCCCTGATATTCTAATGAGTGAAATTCTTGCACACAGCATTGACACAACCTTTCATTATGTCAGAGTAATTTGCAGATCCTTTTGGCTTAAAAGAAGAAAAGATTAATAAATCTTGGCTCGGCGACCATAGCTAAGTGGTTAGGGCGCTGGCCACATATGCTAGGGATACAGGTTTGAACCCAGAGTGGGCCTGCTAAGCAACAATGACGACTACAACCAAAAAAATAGCCAGGTATTATGGTAGCCACCTGTAGCCCCAACTACTTGGAAGTCTGAGACAAGAGAATGGCTTACACCCAAGAGTTTGAGGTTGTTATGAGCTGTGATGCCACGGCATTCCACCGAGGGTGACACAGTAAGACTCTGTCATAAAAAAAAAAGAATTAACTGAGCATTGTGGCAGGTACCTGTAGTTCCAGCTACTTGAGAGGCTAAGGCAAGAGAATTGCTTAAGCCCAAGAGTTGGAGGTTGCATGAGCTGTGACATCACTCACTCCACCGAGGGTGACATAATAAGACTCTGTCTCAAAAAAAAAAAGGAAGGCGCCTATGGCTCAGTGAGTAGGGTGCCAGCGCCATATACCAAAGGTGGTGGGTTTGAATCCAGCCCCGGCCAAACTACAACAAAAAATAGCCAGGCGTTGTGGTGGGTGCCTGTAGTCTCAGCTACTAGGGAGGCTGAGACAAGAGAATCATGTAAGCCCAGGAGTTGGGAGGTTGCTGTGAGTGTGACACCATGACACTCTACCAAGGGCGATAAAGTAAGACTCTGTCACAAGAAAAAAAAAAAAAGATTAATAAATGTTTTTACTAATGTGCATAAAGATTACAGAGTGAGCACTTTAAGTGAGGAAGACAGAGATATTTTAATGGAATAAAGGTAAAGGGGGAAAAGGATGAAGACCTTTTTCTTGTGATTTTTTTGACATGTCATTGAAAACATCAAGGGTAAGAGGCCTGGATTCCTGAATGTACTTGAACAAGGTACTTTGGCTTTCTTTCCCTTGAATTCCTTTTTTTAAATTTTTTTGAGACAGATTCACAAGCTGTCACCCTGGGTAGAGTGCCGCGGCATCCCAGCTCACAGCAACCTCAAACACTTGGGCTTAAGACCTTCTCTTTCCTTAGCCTCCCCAGTAGCTGGGACTACAGGTGCCTGCACCTGCCACAATGCGTATTTTTTGGTTATAGTTGTCATTGTTGTTGTTTGGATGTGAACCCGCCAGCTCCGGTGTATGTGGCTGGCACCCTAGCCGCTGAGCTACAAGCACCGAGCCCTCCCTTGAATTCCTTACTGTACTCCATAAAGTGTTACAGCTTCTGGTGTACTGCTGCTCCATAAGATGGACACAGTGATGGGCAAGAATCAGAGTTCCATGTTACTCACCTATTTCTGCAATAGGTTGCTTCACTCCAATCTCATTGTTCACAGTCATGATTGAAACCAGGCCAGTGTCTGGCTGGATAGCAGCCTCCAGTTTCTAAGAAAATGCAATAGTAAGGAGACTATAGATTTTTCCTATAAGAATTTAGGTATAGGCTCGGCGCCTGTGGCTCAAGCGGCTAAGGCTCCAGCCACATACACCTAAGGTGGCGGGTTCGAATCCCCAGCCCGGGCCCGCCAAACAACAAT